ATTTTAAAATATACTATATGGCTCTCTCTGAAATATATTTCCAAATATTTGCCTTCCTGGCTGTCTGAGTTAAAAAGGTTGCCGACCCCTGACCTAGTGTATACTTCTCACAGCTACGTTGCTGTTAAAGTCAAGAGTCTGGCGCCGCCGTAGTCGTATGTTGATCGGCCAAGAACTATGCCCATTGCATTTAGTTAGTCTATAGTTCTCTATAAGTGGAAGCGGTCTTTTCAGAATCAAGGGGTGACGGGGAAATGTTTCTTTCGTTTATTGTGTACTTGTACTATTTTATGCCATACCATTTGCCTGCATGAACTCAAAGAAGATGTCTCCGTCAATGGAGTCGTATGACGCGATAGAGTCCAGGGTGCACGGTCGACTTGAACTTAAAACTGTCGTTTTCTGGCACACTAGTGACAGTGCATATGTTATCGAGCGACACTGTGGGTTCCGTCTGACGACGGGCTGATGTCACTAATTTTAAAATTCACGAGTACTTTTTCATTTCCCGAAAAACTTACTATTTTCATAATCTATTCTCGAAAAAAATGGAAAACCTGCCTACTAGGTATTTTTTTCCAGCAGCAGTACGTAATTTGCTATAGTCCATAGAATATTATCGCAATCATTGGAGCCTCATTTCTTAAAGTTGAATTCCTCACGAAGATCCTTTATTATTTTCTCATCTATTGTCTAACTTAAGCTCGATATTCATATTTACTTTAAAACTCATATATTTGCTATTATTTTTTCTGCTGAATTACGTTCTTATTTTCCTTGCCAGGATTAAAGGGTTGTCCCGAACCTCCACGACCTCCCTTATCTGACACAGAACTACGACTGTATATGGACAATCTAGGACGAATCGTTCAATTCAATGAATTGTGGTAAGTGTTCTTAATTGTTGTTTGTAATGAATTCGTCCGTGCTTGGATCCAAAAGAGGTTGTCGAATCGAACCTCCCCCCTCTTTTCACAGGGAGGTGGCTCGAAATAAGTGTTAATTGCACGAGTGTTAGTTCTCACAAGCTGCAAAAGGTCCAGGCAACAATCTGTGGGGTACTTTTACCTGCTCAGGAAGCCCACTTAACGATCCTTAAACTATGACGACTGACTCTCGAGAGTCAGTGAAGAACCGGCGCTAAAACCTTAGTTCACGCTGTAGTTAATATGGCAG